TTTTTTTGTTGTTTTTTTTTAAATCTGTTGCAAATGAAATGTATAAATCCTGGCTTCCATGTTGTGTATGATGCGGTTAAGTATTATTTTTTTCTGTGATGTTCTTCAGGTTTGTAACTTCTCAGAGAGATCCAGCCAAAGACCCCCTGATTCTCTGGCTGAACGGCGGGCCCGGCTGCAGCTCTCTGGACGGGTTCTTGTCGGAGAACGGGCCGTTTCACGTGAGCCCTCTTGTCATGGACTCGGCTGCATCTGTGCACTGTCGATTCACGCAAACTTTAAACTGTTAACCTTTTATTTGCAGGTAAATGACGATGGAGCCACTCTTTATGAGAACAAATTCAGCTGGAACAGGATCGCCAACGTGTTGTACCTGGAGTCTCCCGCCGGAGTGGGGTACTCTTACTCTGACAGTAAAAAATACGACACAGATGATGATCAGGTATGTTTTTCTCTTGCTTGGACCAAAAAAAAAAGCTTACAGATAATTTGAAACTGTAAATCTTTGTTTTTTGTTGTTTTTTTTTCCCGCAGGTTGCTGATGATAATTACAAAGCCCTTCAGAGTTTCTTTGCCAAGTTCCCGAACTTTACTCAGAACGAGTTCTACATCTTTGGGGAGAGTTACGGAGGCGTTTACGCTCCGACGCTGAGCCTGCGTGTGGCGACAGGAAAAGTTAAGATCAACTTCAAGGTGAGGTGCTGCAGGCAAAACCTTAAACGTAGAAAAGTTCAGGAAGTGGAAGTAGATTAATTACTCGGAGTGAAATCCTTTTCAAGGATTTATTTTTTTTTTCTTTTTATAATTATTGCTTGCGGCAAGAAATTTCAACATTGCAAATGACCAGTGAAAGATATTTAATGCAGAAATGTCAACCTACTGAAAGGCATGTGCATGTAAGGAATAACATTTTCAATCAGTTGTTTGTCCTCTGCAGAGATTAAACAAAATATAGAAAACGCTAAAAGACACTTGTCCCTTAAATGATTGAAGAGAGAAAAACAAAGAAATATTGTCTTGTTTTTCTTTGTATGTTTGCTAAATTGACTTTCTAGACAGCTGTTCATATTCAACCAATAGTTGTGGTGGTCCATCACGTTCACTTCTATTTTATGGGTCAAAATCTGAAAACGATAGTAATGACAAGAATGTTTCATTTTAGTTCTTGAATTGATTTAATGTTTGTCTTTTCAGGGCTTTGCGGTGGGAAATGGTCTCAGCAGCTTTGCGCTCAACGACCAATCGTTGATCTACTTTGGTTATTACCATGGCCTGTTTGGAGAAGAGTGAGCAACTCTTTTTACTTTCAGTTTTTAAGAAATTATACAAAAGTATGTGAAACTCACCAGTTTTACCCTGCAGAAGTTCAGGGACATCTTTATGTTTTATGATTGTAAGTAAAAGTCTGACTTCTGTAACGTTAATAGAAAAGTAAGCAGTACTCTTCAGTTTTTTTTTTTCAAATTGCCTCCAATCTAATGAGGTAAAATCTTTATTTTTTACCAAATGTTTTTAGTCTAAGAACAAATCATTTTAACAGTGGTTTCAGATGAGTATATCAGGAGAAAATCTTTGTCTGAACTTTGGTCTTGTTTAGTTACTGGGGAATGTTGTTGAGTCAAAGCTTGTTTCTTTCTATTTTGCCTGAAGTGTTTTTACGCTGTTAAAATGACCTTGTGCAATTGTTCTTAAAATGTCTTGTTTTTGTCTACCATTTCACTCCTGTTGTATTTTTTTTACAACTACCAATAGATTATTGCATTAGAAAAAAATCACATAATTAATTGCAGAAATAAAAACAAAACTTTCCTGCTCAATGAACTTATTATCCTACCAGCTCAGACTTGGAAATGCAGAAGTTTGAATTTTCTGTTCAGTTCCTTTTTTAGATGGTTTCTGTCATGTGACAGCAATTCTTTTGCAGGTCTCTTATGAGGTGTGTTTGTGCTTCATGTACAGTTTGTGGCGTGATCTGAACATGAACTGCTGTGACGAGAAAAGCTGTAACTTTCACAACAACACTAATGAGAAATGCATGACTCTGGTATGCGTCGACGGCTTTGTGGGAACTTTCTGGCTTCCCAAAACAAACATCAACATCTCCTTCTTATTGTTCAGGTGAACGTGGCGTTTGTCATCGTGTATGAGAGTGGGCTCAACGTGTATGCCCTCTACCGGGACTGCGAGGGCCTCAGAGCGTACCACAAGGGATACGAGCGAGCCATGAGTCATCTGTTCAGGAGCTACAGGAAAAACCCGTCCAGCTTCAAGGTGCTCTGCATTTCGATCACGCGTCTGTGAACGCATCAGATTCTTTTTAATGTCCTGCAACATTACTGGTGGTGATGTCGACTGCAGCTTCCAGATGTCAAGAAGTCCTCTGTGTCTCTGGGGAGCGTTCCTCCCTGCATCAACAGCACGGCTCAGAAGAACTGGCTGAACAGAGGCGACGTGAGGAAAGCGCTGCACATCCCAGACGTTCTGCCACCCTGGGACATCTGCAGGTAGATCGACGCAAACGGGAACATAATTTACCTCAGGTTTTATTTTAAAACTGCAAGTGGTGCTTACCCTTTCAACTACAAGATTTTTTTTTTTCTTTGGAACTAGAGCTGAAATGATTTATCTTGATGAATCAATTGTTGACATGATTGTCCACTAACTTAGTAATTGCTGAATGGAGTATACAGAGCATTTGGTGAAAGAACACATTAAGAGCAGAAAAAACAAAACTGCAAAAGAAAAAAATATATTCTATCCAGATCTCGGCTTTAACTTCACCTGGCTCAAAATCTCTCTTTAAAAAAAATCTCATATTAGGCTTATTTTGCATGAAATTACTTCAGTTGATAAAATGTGACCATCACTGAGCTTTTCACGTTGAGGGTAGAAATACTTTTTTTGCGCTTGCTAAAGGTATGCTGTGTTGTTGCCTTTCAAACGATAATGTAGTTATTTTAATATTTAAAAACTCGTTTTACATTTTAATATTTCTGATATTGCATTAAAAAGTAAATGGAAAAATCTGCATAAAATGCGATTTCTTTTAATCCAAGTAATTGATAGAAGAAATTGATTACTAAGTGGAACTACTGTGAATTATCGTTTTCAGATAGTTTGTTGATATCCTTGTTGCAGTGACGTTGTTGGGCAACATTACACAACATTGTACCAGACGATGAAGGAGGTTTACCTGAAGCTGCTCTCTCTGAACCTGCGAGCGCTCGTCTACAACGGAGACACTGACATGGCCTGCAACTTCCTGGGAGACCAGTGGTTTGTGGAGGACCTCGGCTTTAAGGTGCATTCTGAAAATATATCATTTAAATACGCAACTTCTTAAATGTACACATTTTCTTGATTTATAAAGATAAAATGTAGCTGGAGTTACTTGAGTAAATGGGTTTTTCTTTTTTCTGTGGAGCTTTGGCACACCCTAGTGGTGGAGTTGAGGTAGTTCAACTGTCAGGGAGACTTGATTTGCTAAATGTTCTGATCCACTGGGGGTTTGGTGACACGAACTTCAGAGTGTGAATATATATATAATGTATATTAACTTCAGAGTTAATCATTAATGCCTGAGATTGAACTCACCGGCCTTTCCAAAAATGTTAGAAAATATACAGAGATGATCAATATTATTTATAAAGCATGTTTAAAACAGCTATTGATTATGCCAGAGTGGTGTACAGTATTCATAGAAAAACATAGGAGTGAAACACAATAAATTAAACAGGACAAGTAAAAAACGATGTCAGAATAAAAAGAGCTTTAAATGTTTCAGACTCTGGGAAGATCTAAAGTTGAAGGCTCAGTTATCCCTTAAATTTATAGCAGTGGCAGCAAATGCTGCATCTCTCCTCTGCTTTTAGTATGAGTGGTTTATTATTTGATTAAAGTTTTCTGGAAATGGCATGGTAGTGAAGGGTATCCTGGAGATAAGTCGGTGCTAATAACTTAAAAACCAATAAAAGAATTTTAAAATCAGTCTGAGAAGCTCAGGTTTTCCAGGTTCCAGCCGAGCTGCAGTGTTTTGAATCATTTGCAGATGATATAACTCCAAGTAATTGGACGGACCCAAGTGTGTCAAAGCATGGAAAAGTTTGTGTTCTTTCTAAATGATTTAAACCAAACCAGCCCAGAGACGTTCTTCATAACGCAGCTTTAATATTTGCCTCATCACTGTTAAAATGTCTCCAGGCCACCAGCAAGCACCAGCCCTGGATCCATGATGACCAGATTGCTGGTTTCTATCAGCAGTTTGGAAACATCACTTTTCTGACCGTGAAGGTAAGCGCTGATGTTTGCATGAAAACATGTCCTGATCCGGTGAGAGTCACAGATGCTACATTTCATGTTTCAGGGCGCCGGCCACATGGTTCCCCAGTGGGCGCCGGGTCAAGCTCTCCACATGTTTCAGTCCTTCATAGAAAACGGACCGTACTGAGTCGGTGGAGGCAACCTGCGTCTTCCAGCCTGCACTTCATCTGGAGGAAAATCCATTCACTGTGCCTAAAGACTGCTGAGGCAAACTGACCTCATGTTTGATATCAGTGTTTTTTTTGTTGTTTTTTTCTTGTGGTGGGAATAAATTTGCAGTTTGATCATATTTGTTATGGCAGGACTGTCACAGCGCAGAGCAAAGCCACAAAGGGAAGATTGTAATCCTCAACATGTAACTGACAATAAATTGTATTAAAATTGAGCCTATTTCTACAAAGCATCTTAATGGAGGGGAAATCATTTAAATTTACCAACAACTGAGTTGTAAGAATAAAGTTGACATAAAAGTGAGAATGTGAACTCTGACTCAGGCTGAACTGGTGTCTAAATTAAATTTCAGCAAAATTAAAAAGTCCTCAGGAGTCATAGATCCCACTCTGCTTAAAGACACAAATTTATTTGAATTCTGTTTCTTAGCAAACTAAACATGAAATATTTTTAAAATAGAAAAAGAGCAATTTGTTTTAGGTGTAAAGAAGGTTCTCAGACATTTGGTTTAAATCTAGGAAAGGTTTAATGTTTTGAGTAAATGGTCATTGACTTTTGATATTAAAATGGTACAATTGGCTACATTCAAATTTGAACGGATATCTGTTTCACTTTAAATTGTGAAAGACTTAATACAGTATAAACCAGGTTAAATTACTCTAAATGGGGAATGCTAAAGAACCAAGGTCAGCCCATTTATACATAATTCTGATAAAAAAAAATGTAACACCAAATGGCTTAATGACAGTTTTTCCATTTATTTTTTAAATATTTTCACATGCTGCTTTCAAAGCAATGAATTTAAGTAATTCTAAATCAAATGAATGATTAGTATTTGATTAGTGTTGATTTTTCCCATCATAAATCAGATGAAGCACCAAAAAGTGTATATATAGATAAATCCCAAATGCTTAGGCACAAAAATATACATGAAAGAAGATGGAAACATTATAAGTGAGTTTAAATAAATACAGCACAACATTTTTGGCTTAGATTGTAGCAAACCAAACTTTTAACAAAAAAAAAAAATTAATTGCTTTCCCTCATTTACAAATTACATCATTTTAGAAAAACTTCTTCAGGGTCTTAACATTTACATCTTCCTTCAAATGTAAAAGAAGAGCTGCAGTTAAAGCACAGATGAAGGCTCTCGACCATTTGAGGTTTAATTCCCTTCTATTTTCCTGGTAAACATGATTTCCTGATACATTTTATGTTAATTTCTTATACTGGCTCTTCCAAGGGGTTTCCAACCCCAGTCCTCAGGGACCAGTGTCCTCCAACACAAATGAGCTCTTTATCAGGTCAGTTAGTTGTTCAGTAACCACAGAACAAGTCATTCTTTTGGTTGAACGCGACACCGACCCGGGTAGACTGGTTCTGGACACCAGGTCAATCGTCTGCCCTCACGACAGAAGCTGCATTTGTTCCACGTCAGCTTAAGAGCTTTTACTTAAGCTGTTCAAAGTAAACAACAAAAATCAAAATAAATACCTGATTTACAGATCAACTTTGGCTGAGCGCCGAAGCAAAACGCTTCACCTTTTATCCACCTGCAGCGCCTGGATTTGATGATGGTGTAGGACGGAAACATCGTCACATTTTCAGTGAATAATGGCGACATGCAGGGTAAAACTCACAAATTGGTACAATTTCATTAATAAAAATCAATGTGATCATAAATCCCTTCCACTCAAAAGTCCTTCTGCTCCTGTAAACCAGACGGGCGTCGTTCATGCAGAGTTGAGCAGAAGGGAAAGAAAAAATAACAAATCAGTCCTATCTCTTCAGGAAACATAACGATAGAAAAAAAACAAAATGTAGTTTTTAAACTTCACTGAGAAAAACAAACAAAACTAAATGTGTCCATAGTGGTTTCCCAACCAATTCTCTCCACAGTAGCAGCACGGTTCTTGTTGCGGAGGAAAGAGCAGACAGGATCCGTTTTAGTTCACAACGTCCTGGTAGATGGAGTTGGACGTGGTGAGGCCGAAGATGAAGGCTCCCAGTGTTATCATGGCAACGCCAAGGCTCACCGATAAATGCCAGCTGGAAAACATCAAATACAAAGACGGAGCTCGTAAAATAACTAAAATCACATGTTTAAAAGCCGCTTTATTTGCATAAATATTGGTGTTAATTATCTGTAAGCTACATAAAAAAAAACTTGTAAAAATAAATAGACATCCTTATGAGCTTCTAAAGAGGCTTAAATCAAAAGGTGTAGAAGTCAAACATATTTATGTTTTACAGTAGGACAATTTGGACCACAGATTTTATTAAATGGCAACATAAAATAAAATTAAACTTCAGTCTTCTGAATTATAAATGCTGCACTATAAATTGTTTTAAGAACTAAAACCTCTTTGATGCATTCAATTGTAGGTGTAAAATACTGCAAACAGAGTAACACACCAAAGCCTGCAGATACAGCTCAATCGTTAAGATTACTTATTTGTGATGCAGTTATATAAAATGTGTTTAATTTTAATCACTGAAACCGTTAAAGAACATGCATGAGTCCATTTTCCTACAACCAAGTACATTTTTACCCTTATATGAAAACAAAAGTTTGCAGAAAATGAGCAGCCTCACCTTGTAGTTCGAATGTCTGTCTCCGAAAGTTTGGCCTGGATCAAACACAAACCTGTGAAGTTAAAGAGACGTAATGAGACATAAAGCTCCACTTCGACCCGAGCGCAGGACGCGCAGCGTTACCTGGGAACACGAAGATGAAGCAGGCCGCCAGTCCTCCGATCAGCGAGATGACGCGGCCGATGTCTGGGATGAAGAGCGCGAGGACGAGGGTGACCACGAACCACACCAGCGTCTGCAGGATCCTCCTCCTCCGCTCGCGGCGAACGCACACCTCCACCTGCTCGCCTTGGAAACGCAGCCACAGGCCCTCTACCACCGCCCTGCAGGACAGAACAGGGTTGGGGTTTGTGATCGGGCTGAGTCACAAATCAGTTCATCTAATAAAATCACGTTTTAAAACGGCACAATATTACAAGAATATAGTCGTGGTAATAAGAGAATAAAGTCTAAATGATTTGACTGTAAATTTAAATTAAGATTAAAAAATTTTCAAAATAAAAGGTGAGACAATTTTTCCATCAAGTAAGTGCTCTTTTGACCATTATATGTCTGATTTAACCCAATCACTGTTACACATGGGATTAGATTGACCATTTAAGATCAAGCTTACTGAAAATTTCAAAATAAAAGCCTTAAGATCCATCTGTGGGTTAGCCTTTTATCTTAAATGAGGTATTAGCTATTTCTCTGACTTACTACCTATGTTTGGTATAGTGAATGGAGCAAGTCAATTATAGAGAACATGCTAGTGATGCTCCACATGCTATTGACAGTATTCATGCTAACATTAACATTTTGGCTAATTTTAGCCCATACACTTATTTTAACATACTGAATGGTGCAAGTCCATGTTAGTGAACATTCTTGTGATTCTCCACATGATACTTCGTCATGTTTTTTAGCCAAGGTTAGGATTTAGCATCAGAACGCTGGGTCCAAACCGACGGGCACACTTTGGCAGGCCCCGGTTGAATTTCTTCAGGAATTTTCTAGTTAGACGGAATAATCTGTTACATTTCAAAAACGATAAATCATGGCCGAGTCCAAATTCGTGGGTTGCATCCTTCGAAGCTTGATTACGTCACAGCAATGCAATGGAGGCTTCAACAAATTGATACTTTTAATTGTATTTTAATATTAAATATAAACACTGACTTTAAAATATCTGTGCTTCACCCCCAATGTTGCCTTTCCATTGGCTCTTACCTGCCACAGAAGTGTAAAATGGGGTAGGAAGTCACCACACAGATGACAATGAAAGCTCTGGCGATGGCCACGGCGATGTCATCAGGAGGGTAAGACATCAACACATCCTGATTCACACTGGAGCCAAAGGTCAAGTAGCCGCAGACACCTGATCACAAACGAGTTACACACCAAGAGTCAATGGTGATTCAACAGGAAACGCATGTAAGGAAGCTGTACGTTACTGTCAGAGAGACATGATCCAAGGAAACCCACCTGTCCCAATGTAGACAAAAAGGCAGATTATCATGCTGCAAGTGACTACAAACCCCCACGGTTTGATCGCCTTCGTCTTCATGCTGTTAAACACCGGCACACTGCTGACATGGCACTGCAAAGAGAAGGAAAATGTATTGAACTAAAGTCACAAACATATTTTTATTTTTAAAAAAGGACGACATGAAATGAGGATATACCTGGAAACCAAAGCATATGGTGGGCATTGCATTGAAAACAGCAGTCCAGGAAGCAGAACTGTCAACAACAACAACGATGGTTTAACAGCGAGCAAAGAAAAGTGATGCGGATGCAGGCGAGTCGGGAAAAACTTTTATATTTTCAGGACTCACGCGGCTGGAGCGTGGTCTGGCTTCATGTCTTTGTCCGGAAAGATGTACTTCACAATAACCACAATGGTAACGTACCAGGTTCCCATCACACTCAGAGCACTACAACAACGACAATAACCAAGTTGATCATCACACAAGATGAATCCAGAGCTAAACAGGGAGCAGATCCACTGTACCTGGCGTATTTCTGGAAGCCGATTTCTTTGGGGATGGACAGAGGCAGAATTACCAGGACTGCAGTGACGACGATGGTGAACTTCCTGTCCGTGTACCAGTGACCCTCAGGTGACCCGTCCTTTTCATGAGCAGCAGCAGCGATCACTGCAACAAAAACACATGTTTTTAAAATGTTTAAATTTTTTCAACCAATTATTCAAACATGAGAAATGCTGAATCAAATCCCCGACTTCTGCAGAGTGTAGGAACATTTGAAATGTACAGGATGAAATGGAGACAGAGCAATGTCTCCATTTCATTTCTGGCTGAAACTGTTTTCAGGCAGAAAACGATTCCGTCACCTCGACCAGAGGCAGACAGATTGGGATTTCTGCTTTGTCAGCATCTCAGAGACACAACGTGTCACATGAGGCGTTTACTGAGAGAAAAAGCTGAGCAGTCAGAATGAATGCTCTTTGCACCCGACCTTAACATTCTGCATTTTCCATGTTTCTGCTTAACCTGAGCATTTCAAAAATCTGTCCTGACAGATAAATAATCTCAACTCAGAGAACCTAAAGTTCAGAGCCTCCAGTTATGACGCCTTATTGATCAGTGATACTTACAACGATCCAGCTGGTCGCCGATGACGATGAAGAAAGCGATGCATGTCCCAAACGTGTAGATGGCGATGGCCAGTTCACAGAGGATCCCCGTGACTTTCCCACAAGTGGCTCGAACAACTTCCTGATAGGTGGCTTCATTGCTGACCTGCAGAAACCAGACAGCCGATTTACAGACATGTATCGATTACATAAAAAAACGGATATAAAACACTTAATGAGACGATTATGAAACTTTTTCTAGCGAGTTCTTCCTGCTGCATTGCTGTGTGCTACACGACAACTTAGTTTTTCATTTTTACTATTTCTGAGCGGTACAGGAACAGAAAGTCTTGAATTGCTACAATTCCGCTTGTCGTGATCAGGAAGAGAAAGACAACATGGAGACTTTATTGCCCAACAATGTTGCTTCCTGAAAAGATTTGAAGTCTCTGCTTTTGCCTGGTGAACTTTAATCTGTTTTATTAGGATCGGCTGTAAAACACCAACAGGGGTGGAGAATAGTTGTTGATTGGAGGGAAAATTAGGTTCTCCATTCATCTTCAAATACAAAATTGATTAAAGTGGAGCATGCCCTGTTTACACAGACACCACTAAATAAAATTAGTGCAACCAAGTGGGTTACGTGAACTCTCTCGCATCATGCGAGTGCGATTAAAATCCAGCTGCCCCGTAAAAAACGGATGGATTAGACCGGCGTGCTAGACCATAAAGAACAAGGAACACACTGATCTGGGATGAAACGTTTCAACAATGATCAGTCCAGAATCAGAAAATGTAAAGATTAAGGTACTAAAAATGTACCAGCCAGACAAGAGAAGCAGCAGAGATCAACAGCTCAAATGTGTTTGCCAAATCTAGCAAATGCTAGAGTTGTTGCAGAACATGTTGCTGGTTCAGCAGAACAGATAGAAACAAAAACAAACACATAGGCCTGTCCCACCAAGCAATAAGTCAATTAATCGCTTGATAAATTCAAAAAAACTCAATTTATATTTGCATGATTTTTTTCCTCCTTTCTAAAAAAACTGGATGACAGAAGTCTTAAGTCTGGTGCTTTTGTCTGAACTGGCCCCTTTTTATGAAGGACAATTTAATTTAGATTTCCAATTTGATATATTTGTCATTTCTGTTGTCATGTTTATTTATTTTAGATATTTAAAATGTCTTACAAAGTCCAGCATTACACATTAATTCAAATTTAATGATTTTTGATAATGTGTTCTTGTTTTATTATGCCATTTCAAATTGAAAATGGTCTCAAAATAACAATATTACTTCATTTAGCACTAAAACTTCTGAGACAATTTCTCATGCAGTAAAATTTAACATCGTGATAAAACCAAACATACCTGAGAGCAGTAGCCAAGGATAACCAGCCCACTGATGATGAAGATGAGCATGAACTGTTTCAAAAACAAACCACAAAGGGAGTGTTCAAGTGTTTCATAACCTTGTGAATATTACGGTTCTGGTATCTGTTTACCATCTGCAGCATCACTCCTGCCATCACTCCTCCTGCCATGCTGAAGGCTGCAGGGAAGTTGAGCAGTCCCGCTCCCAGCGCGGCGTTCACCACGATGAAGACGGCACCCAGAGCCGACACGCCCCGGCTCCTCTCTTCTGCCTCGGGATGCCGGGCAGAATCCACGCTGGGGCTCTGCAGGAGCCTCGCTCGTTCTCCGGAGTCGCTGCTGCTGCCAATGCCACCCCAGTCTTCAGCGTCAGCGTTGACCGCCATGATGACAAGAGAGAGGAGAGGGGACCGGAGAGGGGACCGGCGTCAGCTGGAGGACAGCGACGTTCTGCTGAAGTTTCTCAGCTAACTGGTGGAATCCTGGAACAGGTGAGGTTGTTTACGTGACTCTGCAATCAAATGTTGATTATTGGGATTGCTACATATGTGGGATTTTCTGTAAAACTCCATTCACTGATATGAGCAAGAGCAGTTGAAATTGTTCAAATTGTAAATCTCATTGTACTGTTTTGTGATTTTTAGAAGATAATACAACATCAAAATATTTCATAACTGTGATTTTTTTTTTTACAGATAAAAATCTCAAAACTACATGGTTAAGTTCCTTTTATGTAGTTATAAAAAGAGACAAGTGTGCCAAAGAACATTAGAAAAACCTCATTAAAACACAATGAACTTGAAGTGGTATGAATAGATTTCTAAAGCAATAGGGTCAAATAAATTGTCATCTTTAACAACCACCTCCCTCAATTCTAACTAATGACACATCATATAGAAAGCTGCTAAACTTTAATCACGAGGGTTTTGGTTGACACTTCCCAAAAGCACAATTCAGCAGGTACATGCGAAACTACCAGATTTAAATGGACATATTTCTCTTCCTGCAGATTAAGATCCGAACAAGACAGATGCCATTAAACTTAAACATAAAGGTAAAAATCATTCTCATTTATCCAGGCACATTGCGTGGAAAACAGGGGCACTTTAAAATGTTCCCGTTTCAGGAACGATGTGAATCAATAAACGGCAACTGATGAGGGAAAAATAATCACCTAAATTATAGTTTCATTCTGCCTCCTAACAGAAACAAGCAATTGTTTAGCCCTTTGTTGTTATGCTAAGCTAGCAAACCATATCTGAACGTTACATAGAATAACAATCTCGCCAGAAACATAACACATTAAAATACATCAACCTGATGTAAAAAACCGTCAGATATCAAATAACGAACCTCGCAAGAGTGGAGATTTTTTCCATCTTCCCCTCTCCAGTGTCAGCGCCTTAAAGGGAGGATTAGCCGGAGTCGCCTACAAGTCACGTAATGCCACGTGACTTCCTCTTTAATTGGAATTCTGGTTGTTGTAGTTTCCAACGTGGCAAGAATGCGGAAATGATCGTATTAAGCGAGTTTAAAATATTTTAATATAGTTACGATTAATATTTATGTCTTTGTAAAAGCATAGAAGGTGAAAGTAAAGTATTGGAGACATCCAGCTTTTGAAATCAAAGAAAATTTGACAAACTTGAGAAAAGGTCAAATTTAGGTAAACTAATAAAAATATTAATGATGTAGAAGTTTTAGAATGAGAGGCATGAATAAAGCTGAAATTAATCGATGCTAATCACAGTTCTTACCCTTTTAGAATTGCATAAAAAATATCAGATTAATAAATTAATCTATGTATAAATAGATTTAACGTTTAACATTCCAATATTAACACAAAACAGCAAGATAGAAAACACTGCAATTTTAAAAACCCATCTGAACTTTTAACAAAAACAATTTAATCAATTTATATGCAGATAACATATTTATAGTTGAGGTGTAAATGGCGGAAAAAGCCAAAAATATTCCATGAACGCTGCAAAAATTCAAATAAAGCCAAACATTTTTCTATAAGGATTTATTGTTTGTTCAGTAAGGTAGACGACCCATGTTTAGTTTCAGGCAGGAAGCGGAGAATGGAGACAAAGTTCCTGGAATATCAAGCAAATAACACCATATTTATAAATGCATTTATAAATGCAAAGCTCTATAAATGCATGTTTTGATAGTCAGAATGTTTTGGCCATGAAGAGATTTAAACACTCAAGCATAGCATCAGAACCAATGAACTTCTTCTGTACATTTTTCTTTTAGATTACATGGGGATACATTTTGTGGTTTGATGACATGAAAATACCCATACGGCATATAACCACCTCCAGTGAACTTTGCACTCCATACTTCCATTTTACTCTTTCTTTTAACCGTGATCTCAACTGAGGAGGAACTGCTGCTCTGTGAAGGAAAACTCAAGATCTGACACTAAAGTACAGGAAAAGTGCCAAAGGCAAATGAAATAACTGAGTCATTTGAAATATAGAGACTGATAAAATTAACTAAAGTGAACTGATGACTAGATAAATACCTATTCTTTCAGTAAACCCCAGCCACAAATTCAAATAGTGCCGCACAGTTGACAAAGTGCTAAAACACCACCAACATAAATTAAGAAAAAAAATCAGATTTTCTACAGATTTTCACAAAGCAACAGAGATCTCAACTTACATCAAAAGCTAACATGCATTATCCCAACATTACAGCGTAATGCATGAAGGTCAAGAGCAAATGTTTAGAGGGACAGAAGTGCAGAGTCAGCAGCTGAGTCCTCAGAATAAATAAAGACTATCAGCTCTGTCACAAACGTTTTGAACATGGCGAAAGGGCATCAGTTCAGTGAAAACTTTCAGAAAAACAACAGTTCCATGTTGAAATGATTATGAAATCCAGAAGAGAAAAAGTAAAACTAAACATCGACCCGTCCTCTAAAGGTGGAACAGAGGGACACAAAAAGCTCCTCAACACAGCAGCTTTCATTCTGTTCTTCTTCCAGGGTGATCTGCTCTACTTGGTGACCGCATGGATCCCCTCTGCCAAGTAGCCCACATTTCCCGTCGTCACGCCCGCCATGGAAATCCTGCCGTCTTTGGTCATGTACACCGAGAACTCCTTCGTCAGGCGCTCAACCTGCAGAGAAAATGGAAACAAAAATTCAGCAGAGCTTAAACAAGGGCTGGTCACGACCACAACTTAGTATTTACACCTGCATGTGAAAATAGCTGCAAACAGATACGCAATTAAACAGAACCCGTTTTATTTGTGGTTTTGGTTGCAAGTTGTTTTTATTTATGGTTTTATTGTTTTCCAATTCCAGCGTGGCGTGTTTCGTACAACATTATAGTTTATTAGGCTTTCCATCTGTTACTGATTGAACAGATTGATCTTTCTATTGTTTTTTGTAAAAGCAGTAAGTTTTCACAATCTTATGTTTAAATAGCAGAAGTGGAGCCTCCTGCACAACCAACAAGAATGTTGGTTTCTGAATAGTAAATCAACCACAAATCACTTCTCATTTCCAGCAGCCATTGTACAGTAGTAAAACCACCTGACCAGATGTCATGGAGTCCCACTTGAGTTGCTAGGTAACAGGGCTGGCCTTAGCTGGGGTTGCTAAGTAACAACAAAGTTCCCATCAATTGTGTTTTAACAATCAGGAGGTTAAAGTGCTTGTGCTGTTTTTAGAAGCAGCACAAACTCAACAGGAAGTATTAAAACATGCGAAATGTGAGTTTGAATAATAAGTCCACTTTAAAACGATTGATTAAGCAGCTCTGATAACCGAGAGGCTCATCTATAATTTGAATACAGTATCATAAATGCAGACTGTTACTATCAGATATAAAAATTTATATTTATCTACACATCTCAGAGAGTTTGTCAGTTTGAAAGAGTTAAATTTGTCAGAGCAGATTATCTAGTAATGGAAGGATGATGCATCCCTCTAGTGCTGTGTCTCAACTTTTCTGTATTTTCTTGGATAAACATTCAAATATTGTTTTAATCACATCCATTTTATCCTCAAACTTCTCCATTTTTAATCTCAATATGCAGGGCTAGCTGATCTTCAGGAAAAGATAAATCTGAGTCATCTAGAAGGAGGAAAATCTTTTGAGGAACCCTCTTCAAAATAAAACTACTGATAAAAAATAAACTAGCAGATCTGGCTCCATTAAACACAAAATATTAATTAGTTGCAGTTTTACATTTTTAACCAGTAGATTTCCATACAGAGCGCATCTTTTCCTGCTTGTACCTGTTCGGGTTTGAGGCCAGTGAAGCAGAACATGCCGATCTGATCGGTGACGTGCTGCCAGTTGTGGGAGGAGCCGTGCTGTTTCAGACCCGCCACCAGCTGCTCCCTCATCTTAATGATGCGGTTGGCCATGCCATGCACTTCCTCCAGCCTGACAGCACAAGCAAAACAAGAAAATCCTGTTAAAACAACAAAAAAGCGCCACGGCACGTCTACCCCTTCAGTTTTATTCTATCTACACACCTAATCGTTACAGTGCAGCCACAAGATTCAACATATTTTGATGGGTTTTTATGAAATAGAAACACAAAGTAGCAAATAATTTAGTGAAAGGGAAACAAAGTTTTTAAAAATGTATTCTGAAAAAATGTAGAATTTTAATTAGATTTGAGGAGACAAATTAGATTAATTGTATTGACTCAACTATTGAAATAAGCTGCAGAATGTGGCAATTTTATTATCCAATGAATTGATAAATTATCACAGCAAACAATAGATTAATCAATACTATACTAATTATCTGTTGAAGTCCTGATGAGCTGAATAAAAACACTTTATTTGTGAAACATGTTCCTCAATGCTTCCTATTCAGCTACAGAGCTGGTCTATTACACAAAATAAATGGAGGTTTATGCCTTAACGTGACAAAATGTGGAAACGTTCAGTTTGTAAGAAAACAATCCAGCTTCTGGGAGATGTCTGCTTTCGCTTCAGGTTCTGTTAATGTTTTTACCAGAGCGAGCGCAGATCAGGTGTGTTGAGGATGGTTGCAGCGATTCTGGCGCCGTTTATCGGTGGGTTGGAGTAAATCGGCCTGATCAGGATCTTGAGTTGGGACTCGACTCTTTTGGCCTCTTCTGCGTCTTTGCACACAACAGTGAAGCCTCCCACACGTTCGCCTGTCGTAACCGAGAGAACAGAGTCAGGCAGAGCCCAGGCTCCATGAACTCTGAAGGGTGAAGACTCTTTAAGCTCAGATGCCCATACAGTTTTTCCACCAGGTGGTGACAAAAATAAGCTTTTACTGCAGGCGTTGCAGTCTGCTATGATCTTTATACACACCGTAGAGTCCCATGTTCTTGGCGAAGGACTGAGACAGCACGATGTTGTGGCCCGTCTCGATGAAGTGCCGAACAGCCCAGGCATCACGATCAATGTCGCCGCTGGCGAAGCCCTGGTAGGCCATGTCGAAGAACACCAGCAGGTTCCTTTTCTGTGAGGTTCAACATGCAGATTAGAAGCTGTTAATATTTAAAATGATGACACGACAACTTCCTAATGTACAGCTTTTATCAGTTATGGACGTCTTTGTTAGAGAGCAAGATGATAACAACAACAGGTTTTATCAAGATGGGCCTGGAACCGGACTGAGGTGATCGTTTCTCACCTTCACGATGTCGGCAATCTCCTTCCACTGCTCAGGTCTGGGATCCACGCCGGTCGGATTGTGGGCGCAGGCGTGCAGCACAATGATGCTCTTCTCTGGGATTTTCTGCAACACAAAATGAGTAACTGGAGTATTAAAGACCATTGTTATTGATTAATGATTTCAGAGTTTTTATTCCTTCACACATTGATAAACCTTGGTTATACAAGGTTTGAGTGTCTATCAATCAGGCTGAATTGGTGGGCAATTCAACTCCTCCTCACATAAATAATCTTATTGATCTAAATGATCATTTTTAGCTCCACCCGAACTCACAGAGATGTCATCCATGGCTCCTTTGAAGTCGAAGCCGCAGGTGGACGGGTCATAGTATCTGTACGCTTTGAGCTGCATGCCAGCATCTCTGAAGATGGGTGTGTGGTTTCCCCAGGAGGGTTTGGGCAGGTACACATCATGTGGACCTGTGTGGAACCGAGCCTGAGACACAGAAACAACAGATTATGTATCCAGCATGACCTTTAACCTGTCTCTTTTTATACTGACAGTAAAACCAGCACTCACCAGGTAATTTCCTCCGATGCGCAAGGATCCAGTTCCTGAGATGGTCTGGACAGTGATGCTCTGATGGAAGGTAAATTTTACAACCTTGACTGTTTGATTGTGACACACCAAGGTCTAGATTGCTTTATCAGACAAAAGAACGTACTCTGCTGCTCTTCAGCACCTCACTGTCGGCACCGAGCGCCAGCTGAGCGCAGGCCTTGGTAAAATCACCAAGACCACCGATGGGCAGGT